GTTCGGATAGAGAATTAAATACGAACACTCAAAGAGAAATTCTGTATTTAGGTCTTAGACTCGCAATTCTAATTTCGCTCTATATGGTTCTATATGCCCTATTCTATATGGCATATTCTATGTGGTATGCTCTGTCAATCAAGAAAAAAAAGGGAACATTTTATCCCCTTTCATAGTAAGAAAAATTAATTTTTTCCTGCGATATATTGATGGATATTTTCTGTGCGGAGAGAAGTGTAGCGTGCGAAATACCATTTGTACGTCGTTTTTATAATGAATAAAAATAAAAGTTACACTGTTCGGTTGTATCCGCCTGTCACGTTGAAACATGGCACGCCTGCTGCAAGTGGATAATATCGGTGGGCGTAATAATACTTCATCGTTCGCGAATATTCTCTCGTCCACGTGAATTATCGATTTCCTCCTCATGCCAGAGAAGAAAACTCGCAATCTAGTCGGCTGCGGAAGCAGTACTGTTTCGAAAGACATGGAATTCAGTTGGGATCGTCATTATGGCGTCACAAAGAGACTCGCAACATTCGTCGGCCAGTGGCCTTATCAGAACAAGAGAGAGAGGATATTGAGGATGGGTGTGACGATAACGGCTGCGCTTGTCATGAACATCCCACAGGTTAGAGCCTTTCTGAATGATTCCGTTACACTCGTTTCTACACTCATTTAACTAACTACGTTATCGACATTACTCGAGTTCAACATCCCCTTAACTTTTCGTCTCCTAAGCGCGGCGAGTCGTTTGCCTCATAAATGATTTTTTTTAGAATAATTCTGTCAGAAAATTTGAATAATTTTGGTGGATTTTTCTAATTGGTCTTTATATTATAAATTTTTGTGTTTGAGACAAATTAATGCATACTATATACAATTTTCAAGAAGATATATTTTATTTAGTTGGGGTAAGTCACTTCTTGGCAACTTATGTTTGAAAAATTAACATGGTTTACAGACATGCAAATTTATTCATTGCGACAAAGACTTAGACTGCATTTTTGGAACTGTTCCGGGTTACTTATTTGTACTCGTGATTATGTTAAAGCTGAACATATGCATCTTGAAGAGTAACAGAGTACGTGATTACCTCGCTTGAAATAACGTCGAACGATTTCTGCACGTTCGTGTCAAATAGTATAACGAAATTTAATTTTTGTCGACTGTATTACATTTAGATTAAAACTCTTACCAATCGCGTGTTTATCGATTGGGGGAGATTGCAGAGTTTGCAAGAATACGAAATCATGAAAACTTACGTCGCGAATACAAGATGGACTGTCTGTATCTATTTCGGTAAGAACGCGAACGGATAAGTCTTTGATCTTCTTCGCTTCCACAATCGACTATCAGTGAACATTTGTTGCAGCCATTTGTTTAATAGGATGCGCTATATTCGTGTTTATGTCTCTCGTACCGCACATACTAGACGTCGTATTACCACTTAACGAATCCCGCCCTATAATACTACCTTACGAAGCTTATTACTTCATTGACGAAAGGAAATATTTCTTTTATATTTTCTTGCAAGGTGGCATAGCCATTCATATAGTTCTAATGGCACTTGTCGCTTACGACACCATGTTTATGACTTTCGTCGAACATATCTGTAGTATCTTCGCCGTGGCCGGGTAAGAATAACATGCGTGTGTATTTATCATTTAGTTCCGATTCCAACGTCGACCGGATCTTGATCTGAGTTTGAGTCTTTGTTTCAAATAGTTTAAACGCGGTTTGAGGCTTGACCGACGTTGGTGGATCGGGCCTTAATATAATGAATTGATCTTTCGACGTCGCGTTATAACATACAGATTCCGTTGCGAGCATTTGGTAAATAAGGATGTCGATATAGTTAAAATTGTTAATAACGACCTGGGTGACATGCACAATAAAAGAATGGCGCGCTGCGTGAACGTGCATTGGGCGGCTCTAGAGTAAATATGTAACATTGTATATTGTACATTGTATCATAGTCCTGCCGCTACACAAACATCATTATCGTAATGCGTTCTTGCTTCAGATTCGCGGAACATCTTGAAGATACCTTCTCATTAAATTTCGGTATAGAGTTACTGTTAGTGACAATAGCAATGAGTATTACATTATATCAAGTACGTACTTAATTTTTAAGGAATATATATACATATATATATATATTACGACTTTTTTATACTAGGTGCGCAACTAAGTTTCCGGGTTTCACACATGGATGGCGCTAACGACACATGTAGTCACATACATGTCTAAAGTTGTGTTTCTTTTATAGCTTGGACATCAATAACCAATCATAATACCAACATATATCGCAACGCAAAAATATTTTTTCTAACAATGAAGATGTCGAGTTTTGTGCCAAATAAACAGCATTTGCGGGAAGCTTTGCTTTTCTGCTTTAACTTCTGCTAAAAAAAAATGCATCTGAAGCACGTCGTTTGCTTGAGGAGGAGGCCTACGGCGAACATGCACCATCGAAAACTACCTGTGAAGATTGGTTTAAATGCTTTAGAAGTGGCGATTTCGACACTAAGAACAAGGAGCGCTCCGGAAGACCAAAAACAATTGAGGACGCCGATCTGCAAGCGTTATTGGATGAAAATGATACGCAAACACAAGATCAACTTGCGGAGGCATTAAACATGACTCGCCAAGGTATTTCCAAACGTTTATATGCCATGGGAAAAATTCAAAAGGAAGGAAAATGGGTGCCGCATGAGTTGACTGAGAGACAGAGAGATGGAAAATCGAAGAGCCACTTCCGAAATTTTGCTTTTGCGGCATGAAAGAAAGAGTTTCTTGTATCGAATTGTTACTGGCGATGAGAAGTAGATATATTTCGAGAATCCCAAACGCAAAAAATCGTGCCTTTCACCTGGCGAAGCATCAACATCGATGGCACGGCCAAATCGCTTCGGAAAGAAGACAATGCTCTGCATTTGGTGGGACCAGAAAGGAATCGTGTACTATGAGCTGCTGAAACCGGGCGAAACTGTCAATAGGCATCGCTAACGACAACAACTCATCAATTTGAACCATGTATTGCTCGAAAAACGGCCAGAATGGGACACGAGACCCGAACGAGTGATATTGCAGCACGACAACGCTCCGTGCCATCGCACTTCCATCGTCCAGGACACTATCAAAACGCTGAAATGGGATCTGCTACCGCACCCTCCGTATTCACCAGACCTGGCCCCTTCCGATTATCACTTGTTCCGGTCGATGGCGCATGGCTTGGCTGGGCTACACTTGACCAATTTCGAAGAAGTGCAAAATTCGTTGGATGAATGGTTTCGGTCCAAAGACGCGTCGTTTTATCGTCGCGGTATTCATGTATTGCCAGAGAGATGGCAAAAATGTGTATCTAGCGAGGGACGATACTTTGAATAAACCATTTTGTATTTCTCTTGAAATTTTCTATTTTTCATTGATCAAAAAAATCCGGAAACTTAGTTGCGCATCTAGTATATCCTCTTATACACCTGCAATTTTCATGTAGCGACATATGATTGATTATATTTATAATTATAAACATGTTACAAGACCAGATATTACATTTTTTGATGTTAAGGTTACGTTACAATCAGATGACAGCTTAGAAGCAATGAGGTACGTAATCTATGTAATCACACAATTGGTTCACTTGTTCGTCTTTTGTTGGGAAGGCCAAAGACTGATAGACCACAGTCTGCTAATACATGACAAGATGTAAGAGAAACGTAAAATTTCGAAATAATTTCTCTATAAACAAACGGTAAAATATTTGTTAGCTAAAAACAGTATTCATAAAGTTTTAACTTTTCAGATACAGCTGTAGCTGGTATAAAAAACCTGCGAAATCGCAAAGATTGATCATGCACGTGTTAAAAAGGAGCTTGCAACCCAAATTTTTAAGTGGTGGCAAAATGTTTATTTTCTCTTTGCAGGGCTTCACCATGGTAAGGAAACAATTATCGTGATGTAATTTATTAAAATTTAATTGATTAATTTTATATTATAATTAATTTTATATTAGAATTTTATATTAGATTTTTATTAGAATGTATATATTTTATATTACGTCGCACTGTTTTACCCTTTAAGAACTCTAAGGTTGTTACTTTGAAGGTAGTGCAAACATCGATGTCGTACTTTACTGTGCTTTCGTCCGTCTAATAACCAACTAATCTTTAAATAATGCTTCCGAGGACTTGTAATGATGTAAGCAACGTTATGTGTTTTTTTATTATGAAGCGACCAACTGACAGACTATGGTCTGCAAATGTGTCACAAGATATAAAACAACTGCAAATGTTCCGAAATAATTTCTCAATAAACAAGTTCAAACGATGAAGCATTTGTTAACGGAAACTTTGTCAATGATTGTTACGTCCTAATTTTGCACTGATACAGGTGTACCTAGTATAAGATACTCGTGAAGTCGCAACAAATGGTTCTGCATTAAAAAGACTCCAATATCTTTACACTCTAATATGTCTAGTTTATGAAACAGAATAAAATATTATTTTTATATGCATTATATATATATATATATATATATATATATATATATATATATATATATATATGTATATAATGCATGCATGCATGCGTGTGTGTGTGTGTACACATATATATTTGTAATAGATATTATTTGTAAAACATATTATTTGTTAAAATTAATTTTTTTTATTTTTAAATGCTGCCTTATAAGTTGTGTTTAATTAAGCTGAGTTATCAAAGTATAAAAGATATTAAATTGAGGTCATCCTGGTAATACGTATATTTAATAAAGTCATTAAAACCATTAACGCTACAAGAAAATTAAATAATTATCATTATAGTTTATCATGGAGACGACGCAATGCTAACATTATTTCGCTAACCAGTTCGCGTCTTAGAATTGCAATTTATATCATTTTATTTTATTTTTTGCTATTCTGATCAGAGAAGAAAAAAAGGATATTTTATTTCCACTTTCCATAGTAAAAACAATTTATTTCCTCCACTTTGTTTGAAACAAAGTTTGTCTTGAAGTTTTGCGCGGCGGGAGGTATAGCATGTGCAACCCTCTCGCTTCACAGACATCAGAATGCAAATACTAACGTGTCAAAGTTCCATTGCAAGACGCAAGACACGCGATTGCTATGCGATCCATTTGGGGTAGATAAGATAACTATCCATTTGGGATCATTATTGTTGCCTCATAAAAAGATTTTTGCTCACTGGTCAGTGGCCTTATCATCATAAAATGAATGAAGCGGAAGTAAGGACCTGTGCAGCATGTATGAGCGTTTGGAATAAATAACCACAATCGAGAGAATACCCAATATTATACTTCAAAAATCAATTTTACACATTTAACACCAACACAAATTGACATATTTATACATAATTTAATATATTATATACACTATACTTACTGTATATACTACACAATATATGCATAGTATATATATAATATTATTCGCACAATATGTGCGAAACCCGACCGGCAACTTATCTGCGGTGCATATAAGGTAATGAAAGGTAAACATCGGCGGTGGGTAATGAAAATGTACGGGTAACTTTACAGTGATATTATGGACTTAAACCAATAGTATTCTAAATTAAAATTACCTTATTGATGATGAAAATTGTATGATAAAATTAATACTGCAATTCTAGACAAAATCGTAAAACTCGTAACTTGTTTTCGTAAGATTGTAAGAACTTATAAGTAGATTTGTAATTCTATGAGTATGTCATATGATAACTCGTAAATATCTACGATTTTTGTTTTCTTTTTTTGTAAGCTACGATTTTACAATTTACTCATATATTTGCTTAAAATTGCAGCATAAATTAGATCTTGCTACGCGAGAATAGTATGTGTATGTACGATTGTAAACTTTTGCATTTTTCCATTAATCTTTTCAGTCAACCAGAATGGTACACTGAGAAAAAATTTACTAAATTTTAAAAAACGTTTGTTTGGACAGTATTGTGAAGATATTTATTTAAATTAAGTAATTATATTTTTCAAATTAAATAAAGAAGTTTTAAATGTGTAAATTTTTCTTTAATTTTAGAAAATAATTACTTAATTTAAACAAATATCTTCACAGTATTATTCAAACAAATGTTTTTTGAAATTTAGTAAATTTTTTTCTTAGTGTAGATCACCAATGTTATGAACGAAACGCACATATAGAGTGTTCAGAAATTCAACCGACAAACTTTGAGAGATTGTTGGGGACATCTCGAAGATTATTTCTTGCAAATGAACTTGGAGTCGGAAATGGATTGTTACATCGCTATGACAGGAATATCAGTGACATTTACAGGTCGTATACCCGCCATGCACATAACATCACAAGCGTTCAGTTCGGACAGTGTACGAAAAGTACTACAATTAAATGTTAGTGACCAACTACATCCTGTAGGTCTTTTTAGACAAGCAGTGCGTCATGCATTGTAATTTTTTCTTGTTAGGCTTTTTATTAAATTTGAAATGAATTTTTTTATTTAAAGTTTTATTACATTTAATACATTAAAGTTTTATTACATTTATTAAATTAAATTTTATTTAATTTAAATTAAAAATATATTCTAATAAATTTTTAGATATAAAACTATAAAAGAATAGATTTTACTATAAAAAAATAGATTTTATTCCAAAAAGTGGTATCGTGCGCATTATGTTTGTTATGAAAAAAAGAAAAGATAGTTTACACAAATAATATGAGAAATTTCTTATTAAATATCGAATACGATTTTTCGCAAGAGTACATTGGATGAAAGTGCAGTGATTGATTTGCTTTCGATGTTTTATTCGCTATAAAATAGAATGTATACATTCTGCATAAATATAAGAGAATTACAAAATTCAGGTCTAAGTGTCGATACATATTTGCGAACGAGGAGTTTGCATCGTTGTTAAAACACTTACTACTGACTGCTTCTCGATCTTCGAACACCAGGACTTGTCTCATATTTCGTTACATAACATTTTCAGAAATTCCAGCCACATTGTAAGCAAAATCTGCTGCGAAATACAATAAGAGTACAAGTATTAATTTATAAAAATTCAAGTAATCAATTTCTAAGCTCTAAGTAATATAGTTTAAGACCAATAAGGTTAATTAATAGAAAATAAATAATAAGTTTAATTAATAGAAAATGAATTAGTACATTGTGATATATGATTAGATATCAAAACACGATTAGTTAAAAAACCTTAAAGGATATTTTAAACTTATTTTTAAGAAAATAACAATAATTAACAATAATATATTATAATCGTAATAAATATATTATAATCTACAATTTACTTTTTATTTCTTAAGAATGAGAAATATAAATTTTCCGAGACGCATTCCAGACCTCGTTAACCACGTATCTTATGTCGACATATGCCAGTGCTCGAGGATCAGAAAAATAAGGAAACACTTGGGCAAAATACGACTTTTGAAGAACGATGAAATCGCGTGTCTCTTTCATCGCGATGTGTGACGTGTACGCCACTAAATATTTTTACGAAAGGACTGTATGACGATAATACTGCAAGTTATCATTTTCGTATGCGACAGTAAAGCTTAATTTACAATGTGTTCTTTGCTTCCTGTTTCTTGTTCTCTGTCTTTTCTGACTTAAATCTTTTTCTAGATTAAGGTTTGTGTCAAAAAAAAAAAAGAAATAGGAAGCAGAGAACATTGTAGATCAAGTTTAATAATAATTATGTTAAATGCAAAAACATTAATAACATTATCATTACGAAGCATACAAACTGAAAAAGAGAATTAAAATATTTTTAATTAATTAATAATGCAGAAAATAGATAGATCGAGATTTTCGTTTACAAAAAACAATGCCAAACTTTTTTGCGAGATAATTTTGTTATTTTTTTTGTTATTAACAAATTAATGTATAAAAAACAAGCATTCATCTATTTTTATTATTTTATTAATGGCAAGCGATTTATCATAATTTATCTAATTTCTAACATTTTTTTTCTAAAAATCGCTGATTTTTCAATATAAAATTCAAGTTAACTTTAAAATCTGATGTGATGGGGCAATTTAATCAACGGCATTGTTTTTTGTGAGCGACAGTCCATAAAAAAATCCTGCTCTGATTAGTTACTTAACAATTTTTTTCTGGTTCTGTGTAATTAATGATTATTAAAAAAAGAAATCTAATTAGAGTTTTGCTTAGTATATTTGTATAAAAATAGAAATTTTTGAATGATCTTTAAATTCAAGAACCGAACGAGAAAGAATGATACAATGAGAAAATGCATACTGGATGAGTTATTAAAGCAACTGCTTTTTTAATAACAGAACAAAATAAAATATTTTGTTAAGTATTTGTATTTTGAAATATATCTTTTATATTAAAATGAAAGAAATTAATATGAAAAAAAACAATAAAAGTAGTTTTTAACAGCTCATCCGGCATGCAAAAGTGACGATAATATACTAATACTTGAAAAGGTACTCGATGGAAAAAAAAAAGTTATAGAATTGGTACAAAAATGCAATCTCTATCATTTGTTTATCAGCGGAATTATCTTTAGTACCCTGCCTATAATTGCGAAATTGCAATGTCATTTTTTACATTCTCTTATTCTTTTAACAAAAAAGTACGATTTGATAATTTTGTTACTCGAGTGACGATAATCTACGATTTTGCAAAGATATGGAACATATAGTTTTATCTTCTAACACACAAAAAGCGCGTATGAGGAATTACACTTCGAAAACTGCTTCGAAATAAGAGAAATCTGTTTATTTCATAACGGATATTTTTAAATGGGAATATCATGTTTCAACTAAATTCTGCTCTTTTTAATTAGAATTATTTTTCAACCATCTCATACTGCCATAAACTTAACAAAGTTTATATCTTCAAGTACAAGTGCTGGTTAATTAACATTTTCATGTTACAATTCACCTCATTATAGGTAAATTAAATCACGAAAAAGTAGCTCGCCAAATTTTGCCTTCTAATCTCCTCGTCTCTTTTAGTCTTCTATTCGATTTTGACCGACACAACAAATTTTCATTCTTTGCCGGACTTTTAGAATAAAAAGATCGCAAACCGAACTTAAGAACATCGCGGGCATCCTTTTTTTGATAAGGCAATCTTTCACAAATCCAACTTTCTTAGTTCTTTTATATCTCGAAAGTGATCTTGTGTTCTAGCAACATGTTGTTCTCTGGTGGCAAGGATAAACAAGCTCTTAGGATATTCTCAATAGCAGCTCGTTGTCGGAAAAGAGCATTTACTACGGGAGTTTCCCGGGGAACAAGGGGAGCTTTGCACAAGTAAGACAATATTGACAAGACACTGTGGAAGCCAGAGAAATCTCCAGTGTCGTCCGCTTGTTTAAAAGTGATACGAGAGCAGAGCTCAGCGAGAATCACGAGATCAAGTATGATGGGAGACGCTAATAGCGAGTCTTCGCACGTGTTATGAATGACGATGGTATTGTGGCCACCAAGCATGATTTCAGACGTGTACTCGTCCATGGCTCTCTTACTGTCACCTGAAAAAGATAATACATGATATAATAAAGAAAATAAAAGAAATATGATTAGGATATTAATCTTACATTGAGCAAAGTTTCCAATCTGAATCATATAAAAAATATTTTCTTTTTGCAAATATTTGTTTTTCCCTTATTTTTTTATTACATTAGACTGTGCATGGACGATGTTATTAAGTTGACTTGTCATTATTCTATTTCTATAGGAAATTTGTCTATTAAAATGGAAATAGAAAGTCCTTGTTATATAAATGTCTAAAAATATTTGATCAAATAGAATACTTCGATAATATCGATTTTTATTTTATTTGATAAACACGACAAGCCTTTTACATCAGTTTAATGCATATTGTCAGAATGAGATCTTACCGACATAGGGAACGTATTTGATAACGACACAATGATCTGGTTTCTCTCCGGTTTTGTAAAGGATCTTGTTGGACTCTATCATATCGTCCACGACATTGCTTTTGGAGATCTGTGTGTTGCATCGATCATAGATTAACACATTGCGCGGTGAGAAATTTAATGTCTGTTTTCTTTCTCTTTATGTTACGTACTTCCTTCGAGCGAAATTGTTGCGGTGCAGACAGATTATAACCATCATTGTTTCCTAAATGATTATAGCTAACGATCGACACCGGTTTGATGCCTGCCGACACGAGGAAATCCACGAGCACACACTTGAGCTTCGTCTGACCGGACTTGAAGTCGTCGCCACTGATGAAAGTGTTCTGCCGCTCAGCTAGTTCAAATGCACCTGGCACGAACGTGTTCTGCGGCGAGCCGTTGATATAGGTACACTGCAACAGTACAACAGTACAAAGTTAGTCAATAATTAAGTTTTAATTACTTTCGTAGTTGAAAAACGAAAAATATTGCCGAATCTAAGATTCTATATTATGCATATTAGAATTGACTTATTTTTCGATCTTATTTGATATTAAATCTCCTGACCACTCGTCACGGCAATGGCCATTTATGATGTTAGAAGAGCGAGAAAATATATGCTATACAAGTGTTTGCAAAGTACAAATAAAAAGATGTATACATAAAATGATATAATCGATCGAGCATATGTGTAAAATAGTGCAAACACTTTCCTTTTGTTCTAACAATCAATAAATAACTATAAAATTAACGTGACAAAATCACGAGGAAATGCACGTTAAAACAGCAGATTGATTTTGGTCAACAGAAAATGTCACGTTAATTTTAGGATAACTTATTGATTGTTAGAACAAAAAAAGGCGTTCGGACTATTTTACTGATGTGCCCGATCGATTGCGTGTGTCATTTTATGGATTTTTATTTCAACGTATTTTGCAAGAATTTTTATTGTATATTTTCTCACCTTTGATGTCATCAATTCAGAGTTTCGCGGCGAGGAGCCAGAAGTCTTAATATAACAGTATGTTTAGTTCTATGTTTTTCACGATATCTTACTCCTTCTAGAGCCGCTGCTACAGCGAACATAGTGCTGGGACTGATCTCCGAGTGGTCCTCTTCGATCGCCTTCAGTAGGTTGTCAGCGGTGTCGTTAACACCTGTGATTATATCTGAGAATCTCTCGGTATTGGCGGTCCACAGAACGATCACCTGGTCCAGATTCTTCGCGGCCTTGAATTGCATGATGTCGTCGCGGATCAACTTCAATTGCTCCGACTTGGTCCCCGAAATGACGTTGTTCGCTCTTTTATTCTTTATAAAAAATAGCCAATAACTAAATGATAATAACTGAAATACATAGGAAATAATCGGGAAAAGTGGTCTCACTTGGTTCGAGGCGATAAAGTCGGGATAATATATACTCTTGCGTGGACGCATGTGCATCATGTGCGGTCGCAGCTGCAACTGTAGATTCACGTCTAAAACCTTGGCGCGCGCTATTGCCTCTGCGAGATTCATGTCAGAGATGTCCCAGCCGTCGATCTCGATATCGTCCGGATTCAACATGGGCAACATGCTGGACATGGGTGCGTACACCTCTTTTTTGCTCGATCTACCGAGTCGAAGGGTGGATGCTTGCGTCAGAGAGCCGTACCTGTGGAATAAAGAGAGAGAATAAACGTTAAAATTACTGCATAGTTAAATAAAAAGAGAATTAAATGTATTACTTAGCTAAATAAAAGATTACAAAATATGAATATTGTATCTAAATATAAAATTGAAAGAAATTAATCTCTGAAAAAATTTAGTAGCTGTATTAAATCTTATGGAACACATTTTTATTTCAAAAAGGCACAAATACAGTAAGTGAATTATTGGGATGCATTACCAGTTTGCAAACTTCACACCCTCCTTCGTCTCCCATGATAATTTAAGCTTGTTTGCCAGCAGGGCCGCTGTCACAGTACTGCCGTTGTTACCACCCCAACCCACTAGCATCAAACCTAACTTGGGGACTTTTATCATAGTTCTTATCAGTAATTTCGTCGATGTGGGCTTCACCTGTGTGAAACATTTTTTAAAGATTAAATAATAGGTAATTAAAAATAATAATAATAATAAATATGAGAATAAATTAATTATATCTACCCATTTTACACAGTTATATCTATACCTTACCAGGCATATCGTACAGAATGTTACGCTAAGATAAATGATAATAATAATATACGATTTTAATATGATAATATATCGCTAGCTGTTCCCCCTCTCCTCCCCTTATTAGATCTTTACTTTAGGACCAATTGAAATATTCAAAGTGAAAGTGTCTCTTGATAACCAGAAGAATTTTATTGAACTCAATGGCATTCAACGTATTTAACTCAAAGGAAACTTTTGGACGACCCGGGGTACGATTGATCCCAATTGAACTCAATCTGTGCATGAACTTGCGATTAACTAGAAATTAATTCGGCGCCAAATATTAAATATTGTTTAATAAATCCAGACAGGACAATGTATTAAAAGATATCTTTAAGAGGATATAAAGTCGATGATAAACTCAAAAAATGTTGATAACATAGAGACAATTGTCACTAACACAATCACTATACTTTTCATATTTCTTGTATATAAATAACTTACATAAATGCGTGTTGCTTTGTTTTCCTATTTAGCAGAAAATCTAAAAACGCATGTGTAGAAATCTTCCTGTAAACTTTTCTGATATTCTTAAGCTTCTGAATTTAGATGCCAAGCTACAGCATTGTTCTTTAAAAATTTTCTGTTTAGAGTATCCACACTTTCGGCATATATAAGTTGCGGAATTTTTAATTCCGCAACTTAAGTAAATATTACGCTGACAGCTTGAGATTTTACATTTAAAATTTTTTCTCGTTTTCGTCATATATTGAGCAATATTCCTATATATATTTGCATGTACTTTTATTGCGTAAAAACATTTGTAATTTTATACAATACGACGTAAGTTTTGCAGAAAAATATCAGTATTGTATTGGTGAAGTTTTCAACTTCGGCATCTCCTTAATGGTCATAAAATTAATATGACAGAATAATGAGAAAATTAAGAAAAAAGATTGCATGTCTCATGTTAATTTTATGGTTATTTATTAATTGTTAGAGCAAAAAGAAAGTGTTTGGAATATCTTCTGAGGTATGTTTAATCGATTGCAAGTGTCATTTTGTAGATATATTTTTATATCTCGATGTATTTCGCAAAAATTTTTAGCACGCGTTTTCTCGTTTTCTCGTTCTGACGTCATTACAAAGAGATGGGCGATATGACCCAAAAGCCTTAAGACGTTCTATTTCTTTTAGACGTCTTTAAGATATCTTAGAAATTTATGCTGTTTGGGATATTATCTAATATGTTTAACTTGTGTTAAATTTATATAGTTTATTTTTTTTATTATAGAGAATATCGGGGGCACAATATTCGGAATGGAATTCCGACTTTCTTCCGCCAAGAATTTTGAAATTGGACAGCCCAACAGCGTTCATCTCTACCTAAGAAGTTCTTTATCGAAGTTCTTTATCTTGGTGGATTTATTATGTACGATATGACGTCCATGTAACATTTACTGTACGAGTCAGCATGAGTGTAGTACGGATTACTTCGTCGAGACAGCTCTTCATTTGACAGTGTCGATTTTAGCGAGACGGTTAGAGCTGCGAGTGCGCGCGTACATAGAACAGAACGGATTGAGGTGAACATAAAAGTCCCACATCGTTTCGCGATATTCGCAATAAATCTCGAGATATTAATTAAAGAAAATTGACGAATGATCAAGCACGATATGGTAGATAAACTGTAGTGGCACTGTCTGCCGTTTTATATTTATATATTCGTTATATACTTATATTTATATATCAGATCAAAACTGAACAAAAAAGTCCTCTACCACTTTGCAAATGATTATATAGATTTTTAGACATCGATTAAAGAAGATTTGTGTATTATCGCGCACAATCATGTAACGATATTTTTTCATTAATAACTAAAAATCTACGTGATTATTTGTAAAATGATAAAGGGTTTTTTTTTTCAATTTGTTAATTGTTGTTAATGTACAAGTACACATCGCTACTACAACTCATCTACTATATCTTGCATGATTCACCAATCTTCTTTAATTAATATCTCGATTATTATTGCGAATATCGCAAAACGGTCTTTTATGTTCATCTCAACCCGTTCTATGTTCTCATAAAAATTGCGGAGGAGAGTCTGGGATACCCTGTGTATATATGTATGTATATATATATATATGTGTGTGTGTGTGTGTGTAATGGTCAAAGCTTGTAGCGCGGGTGCTCCTAGAATTGACTGATTAATGTGCGCAACAACCAAGCGTTTTGATCTAAGCTAAAGTGACCAGATTTTTTACCCTTTGTCCCGAATTTTTTCGAGTGCTATTCAGGACACCGATTTATCATCATTTTCAATGATTGTCAAATAATTTTTGGATCTTTCAACTCCCCGCTTCACACATTTATGAAGCGTCTCGAATTCAGGACTGAGAAATCTGGTCACCTTATCTAAGTCCGAAATAGTTTTGTGTTTCGCGCGGCTCTTGACTGATGTATTATTCAACCTTAGAAATGACTAACATAACTGGTCAAAGTTAAAAACTAAAAAAAAAACAATAAAACTGTTTAGATATCATTGAAAGCATCTTCGTGTCCTTCACATATATTGTAAAGATCGTCATCTTACGTAATCTTCGGCAGATTTTAGCCGTCGCTCGTTGTTTATTAGAAAGTTATTAACAAAAAAATACAAATAGAACGTAATTCTTCGATATTGTATGCATTTAACAAGTGTAGAATATATTTTTTAGTGAGCGCCTTCATTCCCCTCACCACTAAAAATCTAGTCTATCCTACATTGTGAGAACGTTAGTTGTTAAAATGTATATTTTTTAATAACCAACATTGTCACAATACTTATAGACTTAGGTTCAATTTTTAGGCCAAGTCCTCCACCAAAGATATATTTCGTATCTTTTTCTGTTATAACACTTTCACATTTTTTAATTTCTAACTTTAACCAGCCATGTTAGTCACTCCTAGGATTAGTTAAAAACACACCAGTTAAAAGCCGAAACAGAAAACTATTTCGGGCTTTGATCGAAACACTTGGTTATTTCGTACATGACCAGTCAATCTTAGGAACGCCCACTATGAACTTCGACTGTACATATATACATATATATATTCATTAATTTTACTCAGCGGTTCTTCATTTTATTTAAAAAATTTTATTTAAAATCTCTAATATTTTCTTGTTTTATATTTTTATTGATTTTATTAACTAACGTAAATAAACATCTCGCTTGTAAGCATCGCGACACATTGAGATTTGCTCGTGTTAGTTTTTCCTGATCATAAAAATCATGAAAATTATTCAAAAGACTTTCGATTTTTTGATTACTGTATTATACAGAAAATTCCTATTTGCGCATACATTTCGTGTGATATACGTTGCGTATTGCACGATAAGCGCTGGCATACTTCCAATGGATCGATCAACAGATGGACAGACAGGCACACTCACCGTGTATACATCCCCGTCGTCATTGTTGTCGCCGGTCTCGGTCACGCTTGTCGTCTGATATTCGTATTCTGCTTCGATGAAGTCGTTCGTGTAACGCAATCTTGGCGAATCTACGCGCACCTTCAGACCAGTCATCTTCCTCGGGAGAATATGCAATGACGACAGAAGGCAATAAGCGAGAACGAATCAAAAACGACAGAGTCGTCGACAGAGCACCGAAGATTCTTGACACAAGGCCGCAGTCGTTGAATTTATTGAAGCTCTTCGAGTTCAGAAAGTCCCGAACTGATCCTGAGGCGCGATTTTGAAGAGATTCGATGAATTCCGCTGATTGGAGAATCAGTATTGAAAGACTGCAACAGGCGGGTTCTGGAACTGGCAGGATTTCATTAAGAACCGATTTCTCATAGCATGGGAAAGCGCGGTGGTGGATTTTATGCGACGCGACGAATCGAATAAATGAATAAAACACGGCGAAACGCGAGGCTTTTCGCTTCCCGCGATTAACAGGAATCGCCGCTGTGGAAACCGAACTCACCAGGATCGTGCCGGTTTTATGTGCAATTCCGGACACTCCGTATCGAGAAAAAGAGAGAATAAGCGGCGGACAGAGCAGCGTAAGAGAAACGATTGTAGTCGGCTTGCGCTTCGCGACTGCCGAAACGTAAATGCGGCGCAGTCGTGTTCGCCGGCTGTCGTTAAGGGTCGCGAACGGGCGGTCAAGGGGAGTGTGGCGGACATGGGCGCCTCTCACGAGAAGCATGGACAACAGCGTGAATATCCTATATCCAATAGGAAATTATTAGTAAGCAACAATAATGGATAATAAGTGATATAGGTAAATAATAAATAATAAATTTCGAGATGCACACAAACATATATTATAGGATTAATACTAATGGTTTACAGAAAATAAAATAAAATAAAAAAAAGATATATTCTTTTACTACCAATTAATCAGTCCTTTTTCATTTCTTATAATACTAATATTCCAATATTTTGTTCATTTTTTCCTCAATTGTCCATGCCGTTGATTCAAATGGTTTTTCAATCAAATTTGGTCAATTCGTTGCTTACGAATTCGAATGTCTCTCTCATCGTCACTCGACTGGAAGAATGCAAAGGAGATATCGGGTGAGATTTAGTGTTCGTGATAAACGACGGCGTATCGTATCGTATGTCGTGGAATGAATGGATCCCATATACAAAGTGAAGCAAAGAGAGTAACTTACTCCATAAAAGGAGAGTAACTTACTCCATAAAAGGAGAGTGACTTACTTAATATTTACTCTAGAATATATCAATTTTAGGAAATAAACATTTTAAATAAAACTTAAAGAATGTTTATATAAAATAAAAAATATTGAATTTCGTGAATATTTGGTGCTAATAATAAACTCTAGAAATAGTTTCGAGAAGTTTCAAGACCATTATTTTGTATATAAAACATATAACAAATAAAAACAAAGTAAAAAACGTACACAAAAAAGTAAAAAAAAAAACATAAGAAATAATCCTCTTTTTTTTATAAAACATTTATCTTCAATCGAAGGTCATTTGCTAAGCTCTTCTTCAATGATACCCTGAGCAGAGTTCAAAAAGATTTCACTTGATTTTCATATCGTAAAGAAGCTGTGTCCACTCTTAATTTAATCGGTTCATTCATTCAACATCTCGCTACGTTCTTATTGTCCAAGTCTCTCGACCTTTAACACGAAATTTCAGCACTCGATTCTCAATGCGTAATCTAAGGCGCTCTTAATCTAATACGTTCTTGATAAGTCACTTCCTGCTTTATCACTAAGGCTTGCCTGAGAGCGTATTTAGACCTGTCCTCCTCCTCTTCCCACTAAAAACTGCTCATCGGCTATCATTACATATTTCCTCATCTCCTTTTTCATTACTTCATTGCACTCGACTTACAAAAACAGAAGCAAAGAAGCAGAAACGTATAGCACAACGTATTATATTATTAAATATATATATATATTTTTTTTAATTATATAGTAATGCAATATTTATATTATAATATAATATTTATATTTTTATATAGTTATGTAACATTTTTCAATAAAAGAGAGGGCTTAGAAACTTCTTGAAACTCCCCTCCCCTTCAATTCAATGTTGTAAACAATGGGTTTCAGAGATAGCTGATATCGGCAATTTAGAAACTTACGATGAATCATTATTTGGGACCAAAACTGTTAAATTTTTCGACAACTGCGAAGTCGACAAAAATTCAACATTTGTCGAGATATTTTGTATCTTATTCGAATTTTATTAAATATTTTATTCTGACATAAAATGTAGAAAATATTTTGGCGATTATAAAATATTAATTCTCACGTGTATATTTTGGCATAAAAAGGTACAAAATGTAAAATCTCTATAAACATATATTTTCGCGATTTATAATTAGAGGAATGATTAATCAAAAACTACGTGATAGTTATAAATCAACTTTCAATAAAGTTCAAATCTATATATCTGCGTATTTCGATAACACAATTTTGTAATTTTGATTTAATCTTTTTTAAAGTAAGGTAAACGTCTCAGTGGTCAAACATACATGTCTCAATGATTGACATATTGGTTTTGTATTTTTCTTTGTTGAAGTGCTTTTCAATATACAAAACAATATAATAAATGAAAAGAAATATTTAGTTTGTGATTTTGTTTCATTTATTGATAAGCATCTTAACAAACACAAGTATATTATTAGTAATTCAATTACACATTCAATCACTAGGACGTTTACCTTATTCAAATGTTATACCTGTCTTGATTTAGTTGTCCAGATCGATTAATGTGAATGTCGGTGTATTGTCATGCTCTTTGTAGTTCTGTGGCTCGTTATTGTTATTGGGAGAAATATTTCTCGATAAGATAAATCGTTTAGATGGCAACAAGAATATCAGTGACATCGATATGGTGATGTGCCATACGCTGTGAACATACTGCAACAAATTAAATAGTAAGAGACTTTGCGAAATAGTTAATAGAAAGAATCTCAATTGAGATAAATCATAAACACACGTACTCCATAGTTCCCCTCAGTCTCGATGAAAGAATAAAGCAATACGCCAATTATGGCGAGCAACAGACCTATTATCATCTTGCCTCTTGGCTTTTTCCACTTACCAGTACGAATATTGCGGTAAGTGTGCATAACAACCTGTATATGTACGTAAAACTGATGCATTTATTTATGCGCATTGCTGAATTTGGAATCTACTTTTTGAAGAGACTTACATATATCAGTATACCCATCAATAGAGGTATCAATGTACTGAACAGATACATTTTATTGATCTGTACTAGAAGTGTGATTAGGAACACTCCTGTCATATGGCATATCGACACGAATTTGCTAGTCAACTTCGCCATCGCCACCAACGTTACCCAAAACGCGAGAATGCTGGAGAAGAAGTCGCTGTATTGTAGTGCCTAGAAATAAGAGTGGTTAAATTTCAAGAAAATCACACATCTTTCTTTTAAACAAATTTCAAAACAAATTCCTACAAACACATGCTAAGTAAATCGAATAAATTTCGTACTTCGTATTTTGTGATGCAGAACGCGTCATTCTGATCACAAGCGTGATAAAAGGACGAACACAACATGGTGGCGAAATATACCAATCCTTCTGCGTACAATTCTCGTTTTACGGCTAAATAAATAGCCGGTATAAAGAAAGCGTTGCTTAAAATAAGCATTATGGAACTCACAATAGAAGAAATGATAGCAGTGGTGCTTATAATATCAGTGCAACCGTATCCTGCGTAACCTGGTAATTAAAATGTTATAGTTTACAGATAATAATTATCTGATAAGTATCTGAAAAAGAATTAAAATACAATTTATAATTTTTTAGGTAATTTTTCAGATGAGTCTCTCTAACTGTTTAATAATCTGAAACGAAAAATTACCTTAGACTATTATCAAATTAATTAGAGCAAGTAATTCTTACTACAAAGAGGCTGTTGCTAAAATAAATGGACTTATTAAATCACGCTTGCAATATTACCATCAAAGCAACTGCATGTTGTGTAATAGAGATTGCCCTTCTGAATTTCTCGACAAACACCATGATCACCACAAGGGCTTGGATCAGAAAACACGCACTTTTTGGTGCGTACGTTCAATAGCACTGAAATATCTTCCAATTCGCAATATACTGGATTGCTAAATTGTGAATAAACTTCTGAATATATACATATATTACTTAAATAAATTGTTAGAAGTTATTTGTATATTATATATTATATATATTTATATATTATTATATATATTATATATATTTATATATTATGTATATTTATATATTATTATATATATTATATATATTATATATATATTATATATATTTATATATATTTATATATTATATATTATATATATTTATATATTATATACTTATTATATACTTACTTATTATTGTAACATACTGTATTGATCAAAATATAATATGTATCTGATTGCGGATACGCTATTAACAAACTAGCATTATGCTTATCGAGCGAAGACAAATTCATCGATAATGTACCATTTTGACACAAACTATACTCTCCCAATTTAGGTATACGACCTCTTTGAACACACATTGTTACCACTACTAATCGTTTTGATGTCAGCTAAAAAATAATTATAAAGTTTTAAGTTTATTGTAAGTATATTAAAGTAATTTATTGATTAAATTAATTATAATTGATAATTAATTCTTATAATTATTTGAAATTGATATACAAAATTTTACCTTTTCTGCTTCTAAATACGCATTGATATCGAGTGTACCACCGATATCTATGAATTGCAAAATATTGAATTGTGTCATTATTGGAACTGAATCCGTTAACATCAAACGCGAACTTAACCACTCGTCTCCCTAAAAAATAGCAGTATGTATATGCAAATCATAAATATAAAATGTTTCTTAATTAAAAAAGATACAAAATAGGACATACTTAGTTGTTAAGATTGATTTACATCCAAAAAATAGCAGTAACAATTTAATAATTTTTTATCTAAACCGCCAAGCGATGGGTTGTAAAAAATAATGTTTTTAACAATGTTAGGGCAACAAAGCTATTAGTATGTTACCAAAATAAGTAACTTTTGTCATTAACATTTGTTTTCCGCAAAATATTGAAAACTAATTTTAGCATTTTTTGTTAAAAAAATAAATTTAACTTAAATTAGATTAACTTGTTTTATAATTTGCTGGAAATAATTGTTTTCAGCAATTTTAAATTAGACAATTTACACTTTTTAAACTATTAGAAACAAACCTTACTAGTAACGTTACTGCTTGTGTAAATCAGTCTTTAATATCTAACAACTGACAATTTATAACTCAATCATTCTGATTTATTTATATTTATTTATATTCTCATTTCTGACAATTTATAACTCAAATATTCTGATCTCTCATAATTGATCATTCATACCTGAATTGATCAGAAATACCTGTAAGAAATAAACTGCTGAAAATGCTTCCGTATGTTTTACACGAGCCAATTGATGACGTGGTATGCACATATCTGTGTTATATTTTTCGTCTCTCTCGAAAAATTGGTTTTTGTGAGATGTATTTTTATCAATATTATTATTTTCCTTGTAATACTGCATTTGTCTTATGGAATATTTGGTATTTGATCCCATTATGGAATTAAAGCTTGTAACAGTATTGATATATCTTCTGTTGAAAAACTTTTCAGTTATTTTGATAGGACATTCTAAAAAAAAGAGCAATATTATTTTAAAATAGTAATATAATATTTTGGGAGAGTATTTGGTATATAATAGCATATTTAATAATAGAATTTACGTTTTTGCAATATTGTTATCTTGTGATTAATTATTTTCGCAAATATTATATACAGAAAGAAAATTAATCATCTCAAGAGTTTTAAGAACTAAGATTTCCAAATTACCAGTTACGTCGACCTTAATATTAAACTTGATGATGCTACTGGAAACTATTGATAAGTAATAATAACTATCTTCATAAGGATTAGATTCTACAAAGGTGTGACTAGCTCCTGTAGTCAGACTTATAGGCTTCTCAAGATGAGAATTGTTGGATATTGGTAAAGAACGTCCTTTTAAGGACATGTTTTTAATACAAAGGCCACTCATATTTTGCACAGTAAAATTGCAATTCCAGATAGATACACGGAAATCCCATGTTCCTGATGGAATATATATTCTGAAAAATTAAGGAATTACAATTGATAAATTTAAATAATCATACAGCTTATTATAAATAGAGATATTTACTTCTTATTTGTATTAAAAAATAAAATAAAAATCAGATACACTGTAAATAATAACAGGCTGTAATAAAATAATAATAATCCTACTTGTAGTGTGTTATCATTGCACTCGTTTGTGACATGATTTCACAACCAATAGGAATATTTACAGTACTGTCTACCTGTGACCATAAAGCTACTGTACCTATACTATATTGACACTTGTGTCCTAAGCCCTGAAATAAAAAAGCAAATTAAGAAAGCGAATTGGATCAGTTTGAATGAATGTCAAATATAGTTTCGTGATTAATTTAGTGTAAAAAGTTTCTAATTTTTATTATTAAAAGAATCAATTACTTAATCTCTTATTTTCGACAAAAGAGTATTAAAGATTATAAATTTGATACATAAATCTATAATTTGTATATATGTATATAATTATTGAAGGAGAAGCACATGTGTATAAATAGCAGAGGCCTTCAAATATCAAATTGCAAAGAAAATTAATAAGTACTAATAATAGTTTAAATATGCTAATAATTGTATTTAAACAGAATCATACTTGCTGTTGCACTCTTTGGTCCCATGGGGACATATAAGCTGCAACAAACCAATCTCCAGCTTCAGGTCCATAAATTGGCACAATAGTTGTATTAATAATAGTTGGCTGGTAAATTGTCATAGTAGTAACTATGATTTCATGATTATTTTCAATGTGAGTATTTATGAAAAATGATTCTTTACTTGTTGATATAACTGGGTAACTACCAAACCGTAAGTGTCTGAAAGTTGTAACTTGTGTTTTATTATTATTTATAGAGAAATATATTTTTTAATGCAAAATACTTAAATATAATTTAGATATTTTAATAATAATGAAATATACAGCAGAGCAACAAATAATAAAAAAAGATCAAATTATTTACATGTGTACTTTCCGAGATTGACAACTTGGATCATCCATAAAAGCAGCAAATTGCCATGTAGCTCTTAACACATCTTTTGGCACAGTATAATGAAACATGGCCACATCGGAATAACTCTTGAATGAATGCAATACATCCTCTTGACTGGCATGTGGTGTTGCACAATGATTTGCTATAAATGATAAATTTATATTGTTTTTAATGGTAAGTTATATTAAATGTTAAACAGAAACATATATCTTAGGGCAATACTGATTCTATCTTTATTAAAATATTAAAAAATATTAATAATTTATTAAAAATATTAGAGAAGATTACAAAACTTTCAATGCAACAATCTAAAATATTTCGTGATAAGGTATAGTTTCAACAAAAATACATAATATAAAGGATTTCTAACTGTATAAACAAATATCTTGACTGTATAAAAGATTTAACATAAGTTGACACATCCAAATATTCTTTGAAATCCTAAGCAAGTTAGTATATTCTCATATTTATCACTTACCTTGGAAGAGAATTAATAAAATACTCAGAAAAATATAAAATTCGTAAAGTGTCAGATATTTTCTCGATAAACATGTTGAGATCATGACAATATAATTGCAAAAACAATTTCATAGAGAATAGATAAACACAATGGACGATACACACAATGGGCGGTATATACTTTATCTCTTTCTACGCCACTGGAAATTTTTCTAGGATTAACTGGGATCAACTACCTCCTTCTATTGTTTACATTGGGTGTGTTTAGTACACTGAAATTAGGGATGAGCAAAATCATCGATATTTATAAAACATCGATGTTAACTTATTAATATTTCGATGTTTAGCCATCGATATTGCAAGTTACATTATATCGATATTTTATCGATGTCTTATTTTCGATGTTCCTATTTTTGTTAGGGCTTGTGTCCACAATGCTAGAAATCGGCCCAAAATCTCGATCCGAGAAACGTGTAACCAATAAAATTGTCGCCTTTCCGAAAAGTTGTAAATGGATTGGTTGTTTTTTTCTCGGATCTAGATCTCGGACCGATTTCTAGCATTGTGGACACAAGCCTTTAGAAATAGGCCCGTGGTCTGTTGTTTTCAGCTGCACTATTGAATTGGTGAAATAAGTTAAAGTGAAACAAGTATATTTTTCTCACTCTAAAGGTACGTTCCCACTCAGCTCGTCACTTGCGCGTCGTCCTTCGCGGACCAATCAAATCGTCCTATTTTATTCGTCGTAAAGTAGGCAATAAAATGGAACGATTTGATTGATCCGCGAAGGACGACGCGACGCGTGACGTGCTAAATGGGAACTCTGCCTAACTTATTGCACCAGTTTAACAATGAAACTGAAAAAAACACACCATCGGTTTCACTAACGTCAGTTAACCTAATCTAAAGCCAGCGGCACACAATACTTGTTTTCATGCTGGATTGTTTTTTAGATAGAAATACTCTGTTCTGATTGGTGCACTTCTGAAGACGGATCAGTCAAAATAGAATATTTCCATCCAGCAAGCAATCCAGCACAAAACAAGCATCGTGTGCCGCTGGCTTAAGAATGTGTTCCTACTTAGCGCGTCACGCGTCGCGTCGTCCGAGTTAAGCCAATAAAATCGTCCCATTTTATTGTGTAACTTTACGCCGAATGTGTGATCACCTGGGTGTCTGTTGTTAAAAGAAATTCAAAAGAAATTTTTGTTATACGATGGCTACATCAAAAACCACGAATACGTATAATAGACAAAATTGGGAAGATGCGGTAAGTTTAAAGAGCCATAATCATGTAACGGTTTATCATTTGTGAAATTTGTACAACTATAATTGATTTTTCTTTGTCGTAGGAATTCCCAATACTTTGTCAAACATGCTTAGGTGATAATCCATATATTCGCATGGTAAGTGATTAACAACTTCCAATTATTTATTCAGTGTCTTTTGTTTTGGAATAATGTAGTACGTATTTCAAAGAAATACCGCCTTAAATGTCGTCATGCCAAAGAGGTTATGTCAAGAGTAATATGTTATGCACTACAATGACAGTAGAGTAGTAGTAAGAAATAAGTAGTAAGCAAACTGACCAATTCCATTCTCACGATGCAAGAATAATCGACTGTGATTGGTTCATTTACTTCCTGCTTATTTCTTACTACTGCCATGTAGGACAATGCATTAAAAGGCCTTATCATAATTTACACGTAAACAACTCTGTTTTAGAATACTCTGGCTACATATAGACCCGATCTACAATAGATGGAGTAAGTAGGAGTAGGAGAAAGAAATAAGCAGTAAGTAAACAGACCAATCACAATTATTTTTGAAACGTGAGAATGGAATTGGTCAATTTGCTTACTGTTTATTTCTTACTCCTACTTCTATTCCTTACTCCATCTATTGTAGATTGGGCCATAGAATTAAATCTATTAACCTGTCATATAAGTGAAAATTTCATGCAATTTTTCTATTTTACATATATATTTTTCATATATAGTTTATATTGTCTACACATAGAGTATTACAATTTACACCTAAACGTCCAATCCTGATTAACAGTAATTATGAAGTTCCTCTCTCAATAAAGATAAAAGGACAATATCTTATTCTAAATAAAAATTTTAATTATTTTGATTCAAGTACGTATCTTTATACAAGCAAGCAAATATTTATATAATATATAGTATGTTGTTCTTATATTATGGAAAATTACCTGAAATAAAAACCTTAATTATTTTGACTTAAGTATGTTTTGTTATACAAGTAGACAAGCATTTACATAATAATATTATTTTTATACATTGTGAAAGATTACCGTCACTATGAGTCTTCTTTGAAATAATAACTAATAGTTATGTAAATGTTTCATTCACAGACAAAGGAGCGATATGGCAAGGAGTGCAAGATATGTATGCGACCATTCACTGTGTTTAGATGGTGTCCAGGAGCAAGAATGCGATTTAAGAAGACCGAAGTCTGCCAGACTTGCAGTCGACTGAAGAACGTCTGTCAAACTTGCTTGCTAGATTTGGAGTACGGCCTTCCTATTCAGGTGCGCGACGCCGCGCTGAAAATTAAAGACGACCTGCCACGATCCGACGTGAACAAAGAATACTATGTGCAAAATATAGACAATGAGATCGGGAAAATTGATCCCACCACGCCAGCCGGCGCTGTTGGCAAATCCGCCGCGGCTAGCGACCTGCTGATGAAACTGGCTAGAACTAGTCCGTACTACAAGAGGAACAGGCCACACATATGCTCCTTCTGGGTGAAAGGTGAATGCAAGAGAGGTGAGGAGTGTCCTTATCGTCACGAGAAACCGACAGATCCCGACGATCCGTTAGCCGATCAGAACATAAAGGATCGTTACTATGGCGTGAACGACCCGGTGGCGGACAAGCTGATGCGGCGAGCTGCGGCCATGCCCAAGCTCGATCCGCCTGAGGACAAATCTATCACGACTCTGTACATCGGCAACCTGGGGGACGTGCTGACGGAGAAGCAACTACGCGACCACTTCTACCAGTACGGCGAGATCCGTTCGGTGACGATGGTACCGCGCCAACAATGTGCCTTTATCCAATACACGCAAAGAATTGCGGCCGAGGCAGCGGCCGAGAGGACGTTCAACAAGTTGATACTGGGTGGCAGACGGCTCACTATCAAATGGGGTCGTTCCCAAGGCAGACAGACCGTGTCCGCCACGGAAGCAACGAGGGAGATCTTGGAACCCGTGCCAGGCTTACCAGGAGCGCTACCACCGCCGCCCGAGGGCGTAGCCAACAATTTTTTCAACCTGCAGACCACCACCGGCATGATGCCGCCGCCGATGATGATCCCACCGCCACCCGTCGCTCCGCAGTTCATGTTTCCGCCGCAAATGGCGGCCGCAGCCGCTGCCGCTGCTACGCCGATCTTCCCTCCAGGAACAACTCCCATACACTATCCCAGCCAGGATCCATCCAGGATGGGCGCGTCGCAAGGCATCGGCAAGCCCTGGCCGGAGGAGTAGTAGTGACTCTAGCTCAAGTTCTCACTGCTGTAACTGTAATGGAAACCTGTTCAAGAAAAATATACACGATATATATAAAAGAAAATGTTGTAATATCTTGCATATAATAAGTTTGTTGTGCAAACTTAGTGAAACCAATACCTATATGTTTCTTTAGTTTGTCTCTATAATTTTCTCTTATGAACGTTAAGAGACATTCATGTTATTCTATTTATTTGTTTTTGTCCTTATTGTAACATAATATAAATTAATATCTTTTGAATATAAACATGTTCCATATCACACAGCCATCTTAGAAATACTTGCATATATTAACAAAATTAATTATTAATTCAATCAACATACCGGATGAAAAATCAAAAAAGCTAAGTGACTTGGCTGCTTAGAATAATTTTACATAATTGTTCTATTGTACATATTTTGTTTCTTTTTTTTTTACTGTTACGAGAGAGAGATTACCTTTCAATATACTCAAATGAATATGTAAAATGACATTTCAAAGTTGTTTAATTATTCTCAAAAAAGTGCTTATCGCACTCTCAATTTTTTTACTTCGCTTTCTTCGCATGGAGGTTTCATATGCAAATTATGGAATTATTTGTTGCGGCGTTCTAAATTCGGAAATGTGTGACTTGGCATATTTCCTCCCGAAGAACAGTTTGACACACAATACGCTCTTACCATGATTTCCCTTTTCACGCAACTTTATTGTTTTTCACATTATATACGTCTTATCACATCATACAATATAATGGCTATAACAGATTGTTAATCTGTTCCTCTTAGCTGCATCAGTTCAGCAGCTAAAAAGAACAGATATTAGTTCCACTTTGCTGCCTGTTATAGAGCGAGGGCGCCACAAACACTGACCACTTTTAGCCCATAAGAGTTTGGAATCCTGTTTACGAGCAATTGCGATAACATAACGTTCAGTATTTCGTACGTCTTTCGCTTGTGTTCTATGAGTCTCCTGCGGAAATAAGTATTAGAGTGCCGAAAACAATGATGTGCGGTCGTCAGGACATATCATAAGTACATTATTACAGAGTAATCTCTTTTTTTTCGATACATACAGTTAAAGTTACTAGACGTCCCAATTTTTCACTTTATTCCGAATTTTTTCGAATGCTATTCGGGATTTGTCATCATTTTCAATGATTGTTAAATAATTTTCGGATCTTTTTATCCCCTTCTCCCCGCCTCCGCCTCACATATTTATAAAGTGTCTCAAATTCAGGGTTGGGAAATCTGGTCACCTTAACTCTTGACAATCAAATGTTCAAACATCTGTGTAAAGAAATTTTGAATTACAATAAAATAAAAGAAAAATATAGTCTATATATAAATAAATAGATGCTTATTATTATCTAGGTTTCATCAATAACATAAGTAAAGAATGACACTCAATTATTCGATTAATTTATTGAAAAATGTCCATGAGGATTTAGTTCCACCAAATAAAGGTGAAACAGTTTTAATACAAGGCCAGTATGAGTATTGGCATTATGGTTGTGATGGTTTCGACGACAGGGTGTGTAATTACAGTTTGCAATAGTTAAGTGATAATGATTGAGATTCTACTTCACCCTAAGATTCTATTGCAAAAATAAATATTTTAATTTAGTATGGATTATAATTATTCAGGGTTGGGGATGTGGTTATAGAACACTGCAAACTATCTGTTCCTGGATCATAAGTAATCAGAACTTAGATGAGACTGTTCCAAGTATTAATACAATACAAAAGACACTTGTTGCAGTAGAAGACAAAGACAAAGCATTTGTTGGATCGAGAGATTGGATAGGAAGTTTTGAAGTAAGCTCAATTTCCTTGGACCCATATCGGCTTTGGATAACATAATTTCAAGTACTCTTTATAGGTGTCCATTGTGTTAAATCAACTATACGATGTTCTTAGCAAAATAATTCACGTCTCAAGCGGAAAACAGCTGATAGATCAAGTAGATAACATTAAAAGACATTTTGAGCAATTTGGCAGTCCTATTATGATGGGTGGAGATAAAGACTGTTCCAGCAAATGTATAGTGGGATTGCACACTGGGAATAAAGGCATATATTTGCTAATTGTAGATCCACATTTTGTTGGCAAGGCAAGAAATGCAGAACATCTGAGGAACGATTACTGGGTGTGGTGGCAAAACTTGAATGACTTTGTCGATAGTTCTTTCTACAACCTGTGTCTACCACAAATTAGATATCATGCACTGTGCAATACATAAGATATACTACTAATATTACTGCAAATATATATAAAAAATATATATATAAAAAATATATATAAAAAATATATCGTTTATATTAAATATATCGGATATAATAAAATTCATTAAAAATTATATTGTGAGTTATTAATTTTTATTATTTTGATATTAAAAGATATGGAAAGATTGTGAGTGTAAATCCTTTATCTCACTTTTGCGCGATTCACAAAATGACTAGTGAACATAACGTACTTAAATAATAATATGGAAGAACAATTTAATTTATATCTATTATAAAAGTCCTGTAACTGATAGTATTAACTAATGACACTAACGCAAGATATACTAGAATGCAGTGGTTCAATTGTCGATCTTGAAAAGTATCTTAGTCTGTATTTAATATTAGACAAACGCCTTGCAGGATCCAGTGCGAAATGTGTTCTGGAGTCGCCAAATCCGCTTCGAACACTAAGCCGACACCGAGAGCATTTCGCCGATCAGATGTAGTGTATACTGGAGTTTTGAATGTATTCTGCAAGATAAATATAATTGCGTGTACACTTGAAAAAAAATCCGCAACAACAAAAATTATGATGTACACGAAAAGCATATGTAGATAACATAGAACGACCTAAGATTATCCTGGATGTGCAGAGCATCATCTTCAGGACATCCTGGACATAGGAACGTTTTATGTTGCCTGAATAATTATCAATTGATTCTTTTCATCCAAAGTGGGTCGTGAGAAACAAAGTGTTCATAATAGTTAATTAACGTTAACTGAATCATACCTGTAATTTTAATCGATGAACTTCGGTAGGTATGATAGTCAATATCGGTAGTTCTTCTACAAGGACCTTTGGATGAGGTCTCCTCAAGCAATGTTCCTCCATATCCCATCTAGCACCTTCCAGATACAATCCGTGCACGTAACAGCCCTGTGTAGGTCGCAGAATAACGTAACATCAATGTTTAATAAGTAAAACAAGACACTGCCAAGCGACTAGTAGAGACAGAGTGTCGGTACTCACCTCATCGGGCCTTTCTTCTATATCGTCAGGCTTAGTGAACTTCGACACCACCGTGTAAATGACGGAGCGATCGAGGGGCCAGTTGTTTTTGCGACAAGTCATTTGCACCAAAGCTGCCAGGTAAGTTTCCGGCACGTGCAATCCGGACAACCAAAGTACAATGGGTTCGTTCGCGCCGGACTAACATGAAGAAGAAAAGAGTCACGAAGAAGAATAATATTATTGATCTATCGAAGTAATCTATATAAAGAATTATATATACTATCACTAATAATTAAAATATAAAATGTAGTAGCAGAAAAACGGTAGAAAAGAGAGGGAGGATGGATATAGTGTAAATGTTTTTTTTTTTTAGTGTATGTTTTCTTTATATAATATATATTATATCATATATACTATATTATATTTATATATTTATATATTATATATATTATTTTCTATATTTTATATATATTATTTTATATATATTTATATATTTTATATATATTATTTTATATATATTATTTATATATTATTTTCTTTATATAATATATATTATATAATATATATTTATATAATATAATTTATATTATATAATATATAATATATATTATATAATATATATTTAATATAATTTTATATTATATAATATATATTATATTATATAATATATATTATATAATAGACAGATATCCAAGTTGGCGCAGATGTGAAATCACAAAGCAGATCATTATGATAATTTAAAGTTTCACCCAATCATACCCAGTTAGTGTATTGGACTATCCTCTTTTGAAAGTGGTCCATCCAGCCGGCGAGATTCTTTCGCGTGTCTGGCGCCAATTTGGCCCATTCCTTGGGCAGGATGCCGTTATAAAGTGCCACTGAAATATTCTCCAATGCCTCGTCCATTCCGATTTCGCCGGCAATAGCCTGCAATTAAGACGAAATACGTCTTTATTCTGGATACACCTCATGTGCATCCTGATTGATGCTGCTTTGTTATGTTCAAAAGTATAACTTGTTATTTATATGAAACGTCGAAGGTTTGTCGGACCTTTATCAGCTGATTCAGCGTCCTCGTTATCGTTTCTATTAATTTATTGAACCTCTCCAATTCTTGGAAGAGCACGATCGCGGTCGGCGTCACTGTCACGGTGAAGTTCTTCTTAACTTTGTTGATATCGTACGGCGTAGGTATCTTAGTCAGGATCTCCTTCGCTACGTTATCGATGTATTCGTCCTTGCTGATGCCGGTAACGCTCACTGCTGGAAATTTGATCGGATATGAGATTTACAAAATGTCATGAATGTCATGATTGATCGTAGAACGTAGTAAACTAGATATGATTTGTTTTTTTTCATCTGAGTTAGCTACAACCATTCGTCATAAAGTAAAGGAAAGCAAATTATGATAACTTTGAATATATAATTGAAGTTATTTAATTTTTCGTATATGAAACATTATAAGCTATCAAAGTTTGTAATTTTTTGCTATTGATTCAATTTCTAACAACGAAACCAAAACGCGCGCAATTGCTGTATCGGGCATCGTTGATCCAGATCACCGTTCACCAGGATCCGCATCGATCAAGATCACCGTTATTCGAGAATCTTGATTCGAGATTCGTGATCGGATTCGCTAAGTCCCTAGATTTTGAGTTACTTAGAGTCTCTTCAATTCTCAGTTATCGAGCTGGAATACCTTCAATTTAGTGATCTCTAAATAACTCGCTTAAGAAATTTAAATTAGGAGATTTGTGCTATTGCTAGGATTACGAAGAGGATTACAGAGACACGCAGTTGGTTTAAGCCCTTATTCTGTGAACTCTGTTTACGTAACTTAGTGTAAACTAAATTGATTTGAGGATCATTAATTGTGAGTTTTCAAAACAAGTTTAACTTACCTAATCTTGATAATAATCGATATTAGGGAAATAGCTTGATAAGATGAAGAAAACACACATCAACACGTTCGCACCTGTTTGCGGTTGAAGTTCAACAAGATGCCTCCACATTTCCCTAACCGCTTGCGTGAAGTATCCTATTTCGGCGTTCGGATGTAGCCCGAATACTTCCGGAGTATTGACCAACGGAAGCTCGTCGATAAACTGCAAATAATCGTCGCGACTTCCTTCTGGCGGTACTACATAGTCGACGATGTCGTTCTTGTAAAAGTGGAACGGCTGAAACTCGTCGAACAGAAAATCACCGAAGTACTCGTCCATGTAGGTGCGGGAGACGCGACGATCGTAGCTATCTATCACTCTTCCACCGTACATCACCTGTTGTTGTCGAGAAAAGAACGATTTACATTTCAAACGTAGGTAAAGAACATTGAGAACAATAACGAACGAATTCGTCGAGAATAAATTAAGTTTGATCTTTTGGAACTTTGAATATTTGGAAAAAGGAAACTTTTTCTTTCTCTCTCTCTCTCTCTTCATGTATTTAAGATATTTCAAATTATAAAGCTAGAACATACTTCTCCAATTAAGTATTTCAGGCTGTTCCATGGTAACTTAGTATTTTTGATCGCGAGTGCCTTTGTTAAGTAAATATCTAAAATGTTGGTGCACACGTTGAAGTCCGACTCGTTGAAATCGTACTTTATGTTCCATCCAATCTTGTCATACTTTCTCCTTTCCTGCAATATTAAATTTGTACATTTCGAGGACGCTTCTCCAAGGAGGAGAATTAATCAGCATGGTTATCTCAAGCGCTCACTCACCTGGATAACCGCATGGTAAAACACCAAAACGTAAATCAAATGCTTGTAAAGAGGGTGAGAGCAGCTTTCTAAGAGCTGCGGCCGCATGTTGAAGTACGTGTTTTGCAGATTTAACTTCAGCCCACTCGGTGGTTCCGTTACCACTGCAAAGTGATATTCGAGTCGTATTCGCGAATGCAAGCTACATTAAACGAAATTCTTCCGTACCTTTCAACGATTGTTGGAGTATGCCGATTGGAAAGTTGGGAGTCGGTTCCGTGGTGAGCCACAGACGGAAATCAGGATGAGCTTGTTCCATATTACTCAAAGTCTTCTCGAGTTTCCTCATAAAGGACAGCAGCAAGTGGCAATTTTGAAACATCAGCCATTGACCTCTTGCTATTGCTAACTCCAATAAGTCCATCGCGATCTATTATGAAGAGAAGATATAGCGAATCTCTCTCTACATCTGTTATAAGAGTCTTACCTTTTCTTGATTTTGGCCGAGCGAGAGATACTTAAACCTTCCTTCGCCGTAGCCATACCGATCGGCTAACTTCATCAGTTCGGAAGTGGGATCCGAGCCTGGACTCAGAATAAAAATCACGGGCATTGCGGAGGTACTCTCCTCAAAAATCATGTCGAGGTTCACTTGAGGCGGGGTGATGTACTGCTCGCCCATAATCTCGATGATGTACTTGATAATACCGCAATAAACGCGATCTACACGGAAGCAACGGAGCAGCATCAGCTTCTCGAAAGACGTCAATCGTTCGTTGTAGTCGCATGGAAATTCCTCCAATTCCGGCGCGTCTGAATCGAACCACTGAAACGAGCAATCTTTGCATTTTTTGCAAGATTTAACTCGAAAAATATATATATAGATAAAATGGAACGTTTGTCTTTTAAGTCTTAAACTTTTAGACCGATCTGGACTAAATTTTGTATAGTTGCTCTCTTTACGATCCTGCATAAAATATTGGCTACATGACATCTGAATACACACACATCCTACTTTCTCCTCTTGATTTCATCCCCTTGACACTTTGTGGTAATTTAAGCTTAGATGATTCTAGGTATAAGAAACTCAAGTAATGCCGGGTAGTTTAAGCTAGTTTCACATAAAATTTGACGCAGGCAGAAAATTCGACACTAAACGCCCATATTCTAAACTCTCTTTTAAGAGCGCCTTTAAAAGTCGCACATAAACCTTCTGATTAGTTATAAGCCACTTTTAGAGATGGTTTCAACGATTAAAGAGAGTTCAGAATATGAGTTAAAGCGTTATAAGTTTTCATATTCATATCTCGAATAAATAAAGGAAACTTTAAAAGATAAGCAAGCCTATTCAACGATTGATCATTGAAGAGAATTCAATGATAAGAGATCGAAACGTTCAATCATAAATTACATATTAATGTGATATTGAAGTTGTAATTTATCACCTCACTAACACAGCGATGGTTCACTTGCCTTTTTCTTTTCATTTATTCGAACATATATCTTAAATACTTTATACCTCCTTCCAGTCTTCCGCGCAATCCCGCAATTCTTCCGGTAGCTGTTCGAACTTGTCGGGAAAGTCACTCGCTAGTTTGAGGATATCTTCCCAGCCCATCTGCGACAGCCACCTGGTGGGATTCAATTTGATCGACTTCTCCAGGGCCATGCTACCCTTGATAAAGAAGTCCAGCTGCTCTTGCCTCACGTTGCCTAGGCTCTGCTCTATTTTCACGCAAATTTGCAAGGAGAAAAGCAACTTGTGCCGCTCGAAGATACCGGTGCAGCCGTAATCGTATACATTCTTCGTCAACATTGGAATGATGTTATTCAGTCGTTTAGTCAGCACCGGGTCCGGGAGCGATCTCTTCAGCGAGTGGACGAACACCTCGACGTAGCTGATCAAGGAATACTGGTACATAGAATTCACAATGGCCATGTCTGCCAACACGGAGAACATGACAGCGCCTCGTTCTGCCACCGGACGATAGCCTTCGCGAAGTTTATTTATATCAGACGCGGTGACTTCCGTGAGGTAAAGCTTGCTCATCACTTCGCTGGCGCTGGATTTAATGCGCTCCAGAGTTTCGATCAAATCGATATTGTCCAACATATTGCCTTGATCCATCGCGATCTCGTGCAGGAGAGTGTCTTCTAAGTTCTGAAGCAGGCTCTTGTTTTCGCTGATCTCTAAAATCAGCGTTTCTCGTTGCTCTTCGATATCCGGCCGCTCGGATCTTACCACCACCGATAAAAGTTGATTCTCCAGGCCCTAAGAAGATAAAATTTTTATTTATAGGCGAATTAATAGAGAAAGAGCGAGAGAGAGAGAGAGAGAGAGAGAGAGAAAACAGTGAGAAAGAGCGAGAGAGAGAGAAAACAGTGAGAGCTTTTTAGTATATGTATTTTATGATAATATAAAATTTTATGGCAAAAAATATTTTTTTATAATTATAATTAATATATAATATATTATATTAATATAATATATTATATTATTAAATTATATTATTATATTATTAAATTAATCAAATATATAAAAATAACTAATTGTTAAATTATTAATTATATATATTAATATAATATATTATATTAATATATAATATATTATATTAATATATATAATTAATAATTTAACAATTAGTTATTTTTATATATTTGATTAATTTAATAAATTATGAAAATATGTAATAAATAATAACAATGAATATTAATAAAAAATTAAATAAATGTAATTGTATAATAATAATTGTGCGCGCTAATTACACATTAATAAATAATTTAACATTTATCTTTAGTGTAATAATAAATTACGCAACAATTATGTTAATGGTTACACCATTAACAATAATGGTGTAATTATACAATAAAATTTACTTACTGCCGTAGTAACCATGTAATTGATGACAATCGCGTTGGCATATACAGCAGCATCAAGTAATGGATTAGATGCTTTTGTCATTAGATATATACGAAATCTTGGATCATAATCCACTTCTTTGTCACCGAGAATGACAAACATTCGTCCTGCAACAGCTGTAGGAATGTTTAATTCATTAAATTGAGACTTATTCGAATTCTATAAATGTTTACTTTTGGAAAATTATGATATCGTCTTATATACTTTCGTAATTCGCGACTTACTCTGAATATTTTTTGATAAAACGTTATCCAGAATAGGATCGACTTCTTCGACATCTTGAAAGAGCACCGGTAAGCCGTACTTGATCGCTAATTCTACTTGCTTCAAGAAGTCCGTGTCCGTGAAAGAAAGAATCTTTAGGTTCTTCTTCTGTTCTTTCTTCTTGATCCAATTCAGCGCTTGTTGCTGAGGATCAATACAAAGTGGAAATCTGGACGCTTTTATGGTCAATATGCCATTTTGAATAGAGAGCTCATCCGACGGTAGACTCTCCGAGTTCCATCTTTAAGCAACATAGTTATTAGATGTTAAAAACTACTGATGTTCAAACAAAAATAATCATTTAAAGATAAAAAAGCTGTTGGATTATTCTTTTTCTGAAATGATTAGTTGCAGTTATATTTAAAAAAGTTTAAGTTCCTAGGTCCTTGCTATGGCTGTCTTTGTTTGATGACGTCAGACGTGAGAAATTGCATGCCAATTTACATTACGGTATACGTAGAAATCGAAGAACATACGCATTAAATGACAGTTGTGATCGATTCAGCACATTTGTAAAAATGTCCGGACACTTTCCTTTAACTTGAACAATTAATAAACAGCCATAAAATTAATGTAATAGAAATCAAGGAATTTATAATATTACTAGCCAAATAGCATCTGTATTGTTCTAGAGAAGAAATAATACAAAATAATATAATTAATATTAATAAATAATAAAAAATAAAATTAATAAATAAATGATAGTCCATATAGCCAGAAATTATATTCTTGTATTTATTATCTATGGACAAATTTGTTCCACGGCTTAATATGGCGGTATTACTTACGTGCTGATCTCGACGTCGTTGCTCAACTGTTCCTCGAGCTTATAGGGCTTCGATAGAGGTAGCTCCTTTTCCAAAATGCTGTTCTCCCAGTCGCTGTACATTTCATTCCGAAATTCGTAGGAGAACGGACCGCTGTAAGCGAGGAAGCTTGCGCTGAACAAACAATTTCCCGTGACCTTTTCCAAGTCCTTCTGCAGAACCTCCAGGTCCCTTTGCCAGCGTTTGTTTTCGGAGGATAAGCCGGAGATTAGCTTGTCGGCGGCTAACAGACGTCGTTGCAGTAGATCCGTTTCGTCCTGAAGCTTCTGTCGTTCGGTCATCGCGACCTCATACTTCGCGTTCAGCTCGTTGATCATCTTTTCTAATCGATTCAACTCACGTTGCTCTTTCTCCAGGGCACGCTTTGCTTTCTTGGATTCCTCTTCGAGTTCTTGGACTCTTTCTATCTTTGGTTTTACCTGAAGCAGCACATCAAGGGTGAATTAGTAACATAGGTGGGAATAGGAGATATTAAATATACTAACTATGTTAAATCTGTAATTTTGTCCCGGGAGGGGTTGATCTTCTTTAAATATTTAGGAGTATTGAAAACTGAGAGATATTAGGGGGAAGAATAAATGGAGGACACATTTTCTTCAATTATAAGAAGTGGAGAAGAAGTAACAGATATAAAAAGAAGGAAGAAGGAAGCTATTAACTTACTTAAATTTTTATAAATACCTCTCTGTAAACGGCACAATAATCGAGAACGGCGAGCACAAATTTGTACAAGCCGTATCCTGCTTTGCTGATGGCCTGCATCTGATCCAGCTTGTCGCTCTTCCTCAGGTGGGATCGTATCGCTTGCTGCTGCTTCAGAGTGATCTCGTCGCAATTCATCTCTTGCAAACTCCTCAGAAATCCTGGATCACTCATCATTCCCTTCGCTCCTTTCCAGGACACGTCTTTGACGCCTCGAAGTATCGCGACGCATTCCGAAACGATCTGCACCGGCTCAGGCGGAGTGGCGAAGGATCTGAATTACCGTCGTGTCGATCATTTAACGAATGTGTAGCCTGATACTGAATGTTTCGATGAATAATATGCGTAATAAATGAGCAAGAAACGTTTTGTGTGCGAGGATAAAATCTGTGATAGAATAAGACAACATTTGATTCGATGTAGCGAACCTTATCTCGGTGATATCTGCTTTCTCGAATTCGCCCAACGCAAGTTTGGCCGCGTCGAGAGCCGGTTGAGCTTCCGCCAGCACCTGCTTGGCTTCTGTTTCTTCCTTGGAGATTATTTTCTTCTGGTCCTCGATCTCCTCCCTCTTCTGCTCGCTCAGCTCTTTTTTCTGCATCGCGACGTCCGTGCTCTCGCCGATGGATGCGAGCAGCTGCTCGCAATTCTTCGTCTGATCGGCTATCTTGATCTTCTGTACAGCCAGAGTCTCGTTTAGTTCTGTCAGGGTTACCGAAGCCTCCGCGATCTTCTGTAATCCTAAGAATATTTATCGGCTATAAATAAGAATATTTATCGGCTATTCAATCGGTGCAGAAGTATAAAATCGATCTCGTTTGTTCAGAAATTGTAGATTTCAGGGAGATATTTTTCCATCAATAATACGACTAAATTCAATTAACGAATTCCATAAATGAATTAACGTTAACGAACTCAGTAATATTCCAAAAAGTTTCTTTCTTTATTATTTATCTTTTTATTTTTATTTTACAGAACTCATTCTTTTTTTTCACAAATTATGCTCAAACGTATACTACTGTGCCCAAAAAGTAAGACCAATATAAAATTTTTTTTTTAAATCTTTATTTATTATTTTAAATCTATTTCGTCGCCTTCAAAGTAATCCCCCTCAGACACAATACACTTATGCCAACGTTTTTTCCAACCCTCGAAACAGTTGTTAAAATCGATTTCCGGAATGGCCTTCAAAGCTTTCTTCGATTCAACTTGTATCTCTTCAAAACGTATCGAGTCAAAACGGTGTCCCCGGAGCGGTCTTTTGAGTTTAGGGAATAGCCAGAAGTCACACGGTGCTAGATCAGGTGAATATGGTGGTTGTGGAACGATATGGGTCGAATTTTTAGCGAAATGATCTCGAAGAACCAATGCAGTGTGAGATGGTGGGTTTATATCTATCACTGCAGTGTGGGTTTATATGCATCACGTAATACGGTTTCCAACCGTAGGGTTAGAAAAAACGTTGGCATAAGTATATTGTGTCTGAGGGGGATTACTTTGAAGGCGACGAAATAGATTTGGAATAATAAATAAAGATTTAAAAAAAAATTTTTAAATTGGTCTTACTTTTTGGACACAATAGTATTTTGAAATATACGTTATACGTTATAGTATATGTTAAAGTATAATCTGAAGAAAATAATTCTGTAAGATAAAATGTGAATCTATTCATTAAATTCATTAACCGAATTTACTTATTAAATTATTAATAGAAAAGTATATGAAACAACAAATGAAAAAGTTTATCAGGACATTTGGCAATCACCTCCGGAAAGGCGCGCGCAGCGTGAGCTTATGGACTCTTTCTTCTCTATCAACAAACTCAGATAAGTGTTGATGAAGTCGAGGAAGTGCCTCGGCGTGACGTAATTTCGCCTCCTCAATTTCATGACGAAGTCTTCCGTGTACTGACATACAGACGTGTGCACGTACACCATGTGATTCACAACTGCCTCCTTGTATTTCTGCGGCACAATCGGGTTCTGGAAAGAAACATTTCTCACTTCTTATTCGAACGTCCTCTCTGCCTATCGTTTGCTTACGTCTCGAAAAATGACATTCGCCACAGCCACCAGAGCTTGCCGTGGCCACGGGAACATCCAGTCTATGGTGGTATTGTTAATCAAGCCGGGATAATTGCGACATCGTGTCCGTAGAATGTCCCCTGACGGATTCATCGCCACAGCTATCCGCAAATTCGCCGTGCACGTTTTGAGAAAGTACGACCAGACGCCTTTTCTAGAAGCACACAATAACAGATACGCAATTTTAGGTCAAAATAAATCCTAAAAGACGTCTTAAAATCGTGTAAAAGACATCTGAATAAAAAAAGAAGTGTTTTAGAAGTTTGTGCTGTCTGGAACTAGGATTCAAAAGTCATTTAAAAAGTCGCAGTACTTAAAAATACAGCGTGATTCGCGAATACATTTATATAGTCAGCGAGAAATGTATGTGTGCAGCGAGTTCCTATCAAAGCAAAATAAACAAAAGCTTTTGCAAAAAAAGAACGAGAAGTAAATGTTAACACACTTTCCCATGTCGAAGCCCGCATTGACCGCTGCATCTCTGCAAGAAACGATGATCGCCTCTTTTTCATCGTCATTGAAAAGAGCCGGCACGAAGCCCGCCATCAGCATGTTGTTCACCAATTCCAAAAAGCTCTCATGTATGATGTGGGCGGACGTAAACATAAACACGACCCTCTTGTTCTCCACGCCAACCATGTTGTACAGATTCTTCATGTCTTCGCGGAAGGACGCCTCGTTGTATCCGTGGGTCGGTATGATCTGGAAGAGCTGGTAGCCGGCGGCGAAGGATGCTAACTTTATTACTGATTTCTTCCCGCTGCCACCTGTACCGACGACCAGCACGTTGCCTCGGTGCATCCGAAGCGCTCGATGCACCCTGGTCAGGTGCTCGAGCGCGTCGTTGAACAGCACCATGTGCAGCTTAGTCATATTTCTCTCGTTGTACTCTTCGAAAATCTGTGTACAATGCGAATGAAGGGATTTTCGTGGAATTTTTATTCGATAAGTCTACCAAGTATGTAAATATGAATTTTTGTATAGAAAATACACGTTTATTGTATGAAAATGATAAAAATATTTAATTCGAAATATTGCCCATCGCTAGCTATACATTTTTCCCATCTGTCTGACAATTTGTGGATGCCGCGCCAAAAAAACTGTTTCTCTTTTGAGGCAAACCAGTCATCGAGCCATTTTCGTACATTTTCGTAAGAGGTGCCCTTATAGAAATATCATACTAAGAATCATTGATAATTACTTATT